AGCAGGAATTAGTGTGATGGGGGAAGGGAAAAGCTATTTTGGGGGCTATCTCCTGTTCCCTTTGACTCCAGACTCTGAGCATGGTCATTTCTGGGCAGCATGTACAAATGCTCCTAGACACTCCTATCTGGGATCAGGTTCCCCAGCCTTTTGAACGAACAGGGAGTAAGTCACTTGAGCCTTCGTACCAACCCATTCCCATTGCACTAGCAATGGGTGCCCTGTGGGGAAGGCAGAATAAGGTAAAACAGCTTTGTGTGATGGGAGACTGTGCGAACGAAGCCTAACCCACCCACCCCCCAACCACATTTTCGTTGCATTAAAATACTTCTGTAGAAAAGCTGTCATATCTCATATGTGAAAGGATTTTATTTACTCTATTTTGCAGACTTACTCGGCACTTCCGAGATGCCAACCTTTCACGTTTGAGATATTTGATGCTTAATATAAGCATCCTTATTCCCCTTGCCCTGCCCCATGTGGACCTCTCCCCACTGAATTTGCATTCGCACACCTATTTTCATCTTACAGATATATTAAGAGGGAGGTTTTGTTGAGGGTTAATGGTAATTTATTTCTCTGGAGATGAGATTTCAAATGTTGCTCAGGTCAGCTGCAGAGAGATTCAGTGATCTTTGTCCTAATTGGCAATTGGTTCTCATCACGTAACCAGTATCACCACAATGACAAATTGATGTGATTCTCTCTCTGCCCAGGAGGTTCAGCACTGGAATAGCAGGGAGTTTTGCAGGTCAGGAGCGAGGTGCATTGCCAAAGCTCTATGGGGGAAGCTTGCACAGTGCATGTCTATACTCTGCTTGACTTAATCAATGCTAAGATTCCCATTTTCAATTAAAACAGAATTTCCCTCCTCCCCCCACACACGTGTGCGCACATGTGTGCATGCACACAAGAGACTTTGAAGTTGCAATTCAGCTAAGCAGTTTGGGTTTAGAGTCTATGCCTTTCGCTTGCATTTGAGGTTCACAGTCTTAAGGTGGCCTCTTTGCTTCAACATATATTCCGGGGTATGTTCATGTTCAGAGCCCTCTGCAAATTTCCACCCACGTTGCCCAAGATGCATTCTGAAATTCTTCAGTCTCTGTATTAGCTGGAAACCAGAAAGTGGTTGATCTGTGTACAAAAGAAATGAGTGTTAGCCCTTTCCCCATCCTTCGTTTGTGCTTAATACCATGTTTTTGGTTTTGGGTGTTTTTTTTTTTTTAAATAAGACAGTCTGAACAAGTAAATGTCTATATGGCTTAGAGCGTTTTACTTCCCTTTGTGAATAAAAATCTATACGCTTTACCAAAACAATCAGCTATGCTGAGTTTGTAAATAGTTATTCTGCTCTCTGCTGTTCTTCTGATATTTATAGGCCAGAGCTATCTGTGAATTAGTCTTGATTTTAGTCATTTCTATTTGGCTTTGGGAATAGCCTCTGGCCTCTATCAAATCCCTACTTGTTTGGATGTAATTGCAAAAGAAAGAACAAAAATAACTGGCCTGGCGAAGTGGTGAGCTCTATCCTTCATCCCCCACTGGCTGTGCTTTCCAGAACAGTGTTTTCCTCTCCACACATGAACTTTACTCTCTCTCTCATCCACACAGCCCTGTATTAAACGCCCACGGCTGCCCTTTCCCTTCTAGGCAACACTAACGTTGGAGGCTTTCTGTGGAGACTTGATTTAGGACTATGAAAAGTACCTTCTTGTGCACTTGTTAAAGCCCAAGGCTTCTGGTTTTCAGTTAAAACAAAAATTATTGCTGAAGAGTTCCTTGATGAATTTTATCCTGAACCCTTAATAAATATACGAAAAAAGAAAGCAATGCAAAAAGATGTTCTTCCAGTCCTTGACCGTGCAGTTTTCTACTGCTTTTTTGTCATCTTACTGCAAAAAGCAGTTGCAAAACTGAGAGCCTGTATGAGGGATGGTGCAGAATCTGAACAGAATGAGAGAACACCCAGAGAGTAATTTTGTGCTATCTTTGCATCCTTCTCTACCCGAAATAATTCCTGTTTTAAAAAGAATGCAAGATTATTCCTGCTTAGCATGAAAATGGGAGGCCCCAGTGTTTGAGTGGGGTGTAGCTGCACGAAGCACCTGGTATTCACATAATAATGGAAAAACAACAGTCTGGTGATCTGATGGTGAAGCAAAGGAAATGGATCTTTCTGGAGGCCACTCACTCACTCTTGGGTTCTTCCTCCACCTTAGGAAAAAAAAAATCTGAATGCATTTTCCTGCCCTGTGGTTTCCATTCTAATCTAATGATATGAAACCTCTCTCTCTTCTTCTCCTCTTCCTCTCTCTTGGGAATCCGAAAGCAGATGCTCCTGCTGCCTGCCTTGTGCTGTGTTCTCAATGCTCCCTTCCCTTCCCCTGGGTTCCTAAGGGTTGTAGAGTTTTGTGTATATGTTTTGTAAATACTTAAAAGGTACAGTGGTAAATCCTGAACTGCCCTGGGTTTGCCCCCACCCAGTGTACAACGGGGTTGAGCAGCACTTTGTCCCTGCCGAGCTGTGGCAGGAGATCTCTGCTGGGATCGCTCGAGTGCTGGTTGGTAGGAGGGACGGGAGGAAGCGTGTGGGTTGCATTCTTCCTTTCGAATCCACCTGAGATGACCAGGCAGTTTTCTTTGGCAGCCTGGGGGAACTATAGCAAGCTGGCTGCACCTTCAGGATCTCTGTGTATTTAGGAAGTTTGGTGACCAAAGAGAGAGCAGCGTCTGTCCGTCACAGCCACCTCGCACCTCAGGTCCTTGCTTTGGCTTAGGAAATGTTACTTGTTGACTTTCTGTATCACAGCAGAGTAGGAGGTAGTTAATAATTAGTTTTGCTGATTCTCCTCTCAAAGCAATGTGAATTCTTGTTTCCTAACTCGATTTCTGCCCAGATTCAATCTGTTTAGTAGAATTATATCAGCCCTGGTAGACTTCACACTGATATTGCTTTGCCATGTATGAGAAACAAGATACACACTTTAAAACATCCCTTGAATTTCATTTTGTTTTATTCTTGTTTAATAGAATTACATCAGTCTTCCCTTGACGTATTCGGTTTTTTTGCTTGCTTCCAGGAAATTAGCTGTTCGTTTCATTTGTCCTGTTTACCATTACATTTCTAGTTCTGACCCATATAAGTGCCTTTAAATAGCATTCTGCTCATGCTTGCAGTTTACCATGCACTTCACTGAACCGTGAATAAAACACCTCCAGAGGCAGTCGAGAGAGAGAGGATTCCTGCTCCTTTTGTTAGTGGAGATGCATCCTCCAGATGCATATTTTGGCACTGTTGCGCTGAACCGAACAAGTGGACATATTTGCAGAAATAATGCAGTCTGCCTGCGTAACGAGTACCCTGTGGCATTCGTAAAGCTGCAGGGGAAGGGAATCCAAGCTCTTTGCTCATCAGCTGCATACCGTGTGGCATTCCAAGATGTGCCCTTGATGACATTCGGAGACCAAGAGTGCGTAAGCACACAGCAAAATCTTGGCTGAAGAAGGGAGCATTTTTTTAGATTTGTAAATGGTAAGAGTTCATATTAGTGCAGATTGCAAGCTCGTGGTTTCAGGATCGTGTAAGTTTATGACCCTCACTGCCTTCCACTTGGGAGACCCAGACCTCCAAGTTCTTGTATAGGACTGAAGTGTCTAGAAGCGCTTCATATTTAATTAAAAAATCAATAGTATAGTAGCTTACACCTTGTCTTCACAAAGAAATTGCATCTGTTGGTGAGTGGAGTTCTGTAAGTAAACCTGTGCTAACTAAAAAGCTGTGTGGAAACACTTAGGATTTTTTTTTATGTTTGCAGTTAACTGTAGGTTAAGATAAGAATATGAATTTAGGTTTTGGTAACTGTGCCTAGAAGACTGTACGTTTGCACGTGTATTTATTTCTTCTTTGAATGGATTAGGTGCTTTCAATTGAGCCACTCTTGTTCTGGACTTAGTTTCCACTCACTGAAATAGGTACAACCCCTTGTTACATAAAAGAAATTAGAGGTCTTGTTTTCATTTTAATTCTATTTTTATAATTTTTGTTCAGATGTCATCAGTTGAGCCAGAAATACAAATAGCGTTATTAACACAAAGAGGCTTAATAACAAATTAAGTACCAGCGACCAGCGTTACTTTCTCAGGTCACCAAATCCCTTTATAATGCCAGTGGCATGAAGGAGACGTGACCTGTGTTCTTTTATCCTGGTTCAGTGAAGTACGCTGTTACGCCTTCAACTCTGCAATACTAAACTGATGAGTTAAATTAGTCCATACACTGAACTGGTTTATTTAAGGCTGAAGTTGATGGCTTGATAGCATAAGCTGATTTACTGCTCCTGTGGGAGTGCCTTCCCAGTAGTGCTCGTTTCACTGTGTAGGGAGTTGAATCCAGGGTGCTAAATTAGCAAAAAACTGATGCAGCAGGGAGAGAGAGAGAGAGAGAGAGAAACGAGCTCGTCCTCTGCCAGTTTAGCTAGTTGAACTCACAGACCGCACAGTACGATCCAAGATCGATCAAGGGGAGGAGGAGGAGGAGCGCACAACCGGGGACAACGCGGGGCCGTGAAGCCCCTGACCTGGGTTGGCTGGAGCTGCTCTGAAGCCCCAAGCTCTCGCTGAGCAGCAGTGCTGGCCAGGCTCCCGCCGCTCACTCCTGGCCTCTGCCCCCTCCTTGGTTTTGCAGGAGGGATTGGCAGTGGAGCAACACAACAAGCTGGACTGGGGAACTGATCCAGCTTAAAAATAGTCCTGCAGGTTTTTTTGAAGATACATTTATGGTTTTTTTAGCCAGATTAATTCCTGCATCTGGTTCACCAGATTGTACAGGTACATGGACAGGTGCTTTATGCGTATGTGCCTTAATGCACTCAAAGTTGCAGCCCAGGGGCAGCGAGGAGCTGGAAGAGCTGCTGAAACGGTGGCAGCTTGGTTTATGCCAATTCCCTCGCCAATTTAAAGTGTGCGTTTTTGTGTGTAACTTCAATAATCTTTCTGAATTTTGTGCTGTGTTTCTGTCGGTGCATTCAGTCCTGCTCATCTCAGGTGGATTATAGCTGAAACCCTCCTACTCTCTTCAAATGCCTTGGAAACAGGTAGCATAAGCTGCTGTCTCCTTGGCCATTTTTTCAGGCTCCTAAAAGTTTGTTTATTATGGAAATAAGGAATGGAATGAAAAAAAAACAAAAACAAAAATAAACCAACCAAACAAAAAACCTTGGTTAAAAACGAGCACAGCAGCGGATGATGGCAAGGCCAGTCGCTGGCTGCATGCTCCAGTGGTACAAGGCAGAGACGCTGCTGCTGAGGTGACTGGTCTAAACTCCATGACAAATGAAGGGTTAACAATGCATGGATTTCAAGGGGCTCTGTTTAGTTTCCTTTGGTTTTATTTTCCTTTTTTTTTTTACTTTATTTTATTTTTTGTTGTTGTTTTTGTTTAATTTCTGTGTTCTGGCCACACCCAGGAGAACCGTCTGCTTTTGATTTCTCCCTTTACGGTTACATGGTAAATTTTCTTTCTCATTCTTCAGAGATGGAAACGTTCAAATACTATATATATATACGTTTATTATTTTTTTTTCACTGCTCATCATGCTGCTTGTTATTTATTGCAGAGTCTGAGGCCAGACTAAAAGGGTGGCAGTTACTCGGTCTCTTCAGGCCCTTTGAATAAACCTTTGGGTAAAAAGGGGTTAGTCTGGCGCTGCAAATTACTCACCAGTCCTAAAAATGTTTACTGGGGTTATTTAGCGTTCACTGGATACACTGAGGCGTAAACTTACTTTCTGCTTGGGAGAAGTTCCTGGCAGTTGCTGATGGAGAGGAATTGTTGAAAATTTCAGCCTTGTTATGATAACAGCCTTATTAAACCCAAGCTATATGTATAATCTAAATTTTAGAAACCTTAAGTCTTTTTTTTTTTTTTTACCCAGGATTGTACCTTCCCTTCTTCTGGCTCCATACCTACTACTGTGGAGCAAACCAGTACCTGCTATAAAGCTAAACTAGTAAATATTGGTCATCTGCCACCTCTTTTTTTTTTTTTCTTTTTTTTTTTTTTTCTCCAAGAGCAATACAACCTTGGGAGGGAAAACTGAGAACTGTTTGTTGTATATGTATTTAGGTACAAATTAATCCCTATTCTTTACAGGTCATCTGTGAGAAGGAATTAAAATTATACGTATGTGCTTTTTTTTCTCTCCCACATCAAAAATATGTATATATAATTGCTAGTTTTTAAACTTAGAAATAACAGAAATGTCAACCATGGCTCACCTATTTTTCCTGATGAAAATTTGAATGTCTAAGAGATGCATTAAGAAGACAAACCAAGGGGGCACAAATACCGACTCTGCCATAGTCAACAACGTAAAGCATTAATTCAGCATTGACATTAAATGGTTCTCAACAGAGAGTCGCGCAAGCTAAGGACTGATCTGTCAATAAAACAAAAATTGTGGTTAATTAGTTATGTTGTTCAGGATCAGATTAATTCTGTTTTAATTCACATTGTTAATTATTTTCGTATAGTCTGCATGTGGATTGTACCCTATCTTGAGTTAACTTATTAAAAATAGTGAAAATTCCTAATCAGTTTAAAGATGTTTAATGATAATGTGGTTTTTAAAATCCCGTACAGACTTCACTAATTGCAAACAAATGTGAATTAAAATCATTTTAGTTTGGTTCTAGCTTGCACATACTGATGTCTAAAAAATTACCTTCCCTCTGCTCTCCAGCTTTCAGTTCACATCATCACCGAAGACATAAATTTCATTCGGTCTCCACAGGCTTGTCTAGAACAAACAGGAATTTTAATGTAAAAAGAGAAAAGGGAAATAGAGATTCCTGTTGCAGTCTTTACCTCCCCTCCTCCCCCAACCTTTTAAAGGTGCTTTTTCCCCATTATATAGAACCAGAGGGAAAGGTATTGCTCTGTTTCTCAGTCCTGCCTTTCTCTGTAGGGGTTCTTTGAAGCAGACGTGATACCCTGTCCCTTCATAATCAGCTTTGGTATTACACTCCCCACACCCCCCCGGTTCCCTGCAATGTATTTGAGAGTTATATGCAGTTGGGCTGTTTTATTAGCCCTGATCTCTTGTAGCTGCAATTTTAATTCATTTAAACAGAAAACTTTTATGCTGTTCTGGAAAAGGCATGTTTTTTATTTATATAGCTTTTTATTTATAGCTGGAGAAATGAAATTATCTGAAGCTTTAGATTATTGGGTTGGAGCCCAAAGGAGAACTCTCGTTGATCTTAACATTGCAAAAGGCCAGCATGTGCAAGCAGCTTGGGCTTTTTAAGATTAGTATTGTAAAGACCTTTAGAAAGCACTTGAAGAATGATGGCTTGCTTGTGTCTTGTTGCTAACAGTGCTTAGAAATCAAGATGCCTTGGGGGGGGGGGGGGGGGTGTCAAGTCCATACATATCAACCCCAAGCTGCACGGAGGGGGCCATGAGGCTAGCATGCCATTTTCCTGACAAGGCATAGCTGTAGATCACTCACATCACCTTGCTCTACAGTTAATATCAGGAGTTTCCATTGCATCAAATGTAAGCTTTGTTTTTCCTGCTCCTGAGGATATCAGAGCCAGCAGAGATTACTTTCTGTACGTGAAACCAGTATTTGCTTTATACCAAGCCACAGGAGCCATTTACTCCTGTTCTTAAGACACCCTAAAAGCAGAATACAACAAAGTTTTTTGTTTGGTCCCGCTCTCTGTAATGGCATGAAGAATATCTCATCACAGTTATCTGTAGTAAGATACCGTTTGTTACTAGTTAAAATCCTAATTCACTTAGTCACGTTGGCTCTGTTTTAATGTCAGCACACTCATCTCTGTGGAAGGACGCATGATCTCGTACCCTGCCCTGTTAGGCAACTGCATGAGTTGGCAGCAGCATGAGCATGTAGGACGGGCACGTTGCATGTGCCTTCGTGGATGCAGTAAACCTAAATTCATCTAACTAAAGGGACATGTTAGTAGTCCTCAAGCCTTTGTGGTTGCTCAAAGCAGGGCATGTCAATTTTTCTCAAACTTCATGGTCTAACTAGGCAGAGATTTGTTACTATCCACGGTGCAGAGGTTGCCATCTCAGAACAAAGCCAAGTAAGGTGGGTAGCAGGGTGGGAGGGAGGTAGCAGTAGGTCATCAGCGTCAGACAAAACCTGCCTTTACCGATGAATCGGTATTTAGGTGTTTAGATTTACACTCAAGTCCAACACGGTACTGATAGAGAGGAAAACTTTGAAGCTAGAGCATGTGATACTCTCAATCTTCATGTTAAGTAATGCTTATTTGATGGTGCCGCCTAGAAGCCCTGCGTACTTTCAGGGCCCCATGCATTATTAGGGGAGTTACAGGCATAGGAGTAGACATCAGCGGTGCCCCGAAGAGCTTACAAGGGATGCTTTACAATCAGCCCTTCCTCTCAGCAGTTTTCTAAGGTAGGTAATTGTTATTGTCTCCATTTTACAGGTGGGAAAAGCAAGGTTCAGTGTTTGATATGCCCAAAGCTTCGCAGAATTCCTGGTGCCAGGCGTGAACTCAGATCGCTGCTTGCTCTCGTAGCAGTTTCTCAAGAGAACGAAGTGCTGCTCAGTGTCGATGTCCTGTACTGTGTCCGGGGTGGGCGGGGGGTCCTGCAAAGCATGCCTGTTAATTAGCAGAGGGGAGAGAAGCCCGGCTTGGGCTTGACCAGCTTGCCTATGTCGGAGCAGGGTTTAGTGTCTTTAAACAAACAAACAAAACAAACAAAAAAATTGTCTCGAGTAACTTTGTACTTCTTTTTTGGTCTGGCCTCAATTGCTTTTATGTTTTCTTTTTTTTAATTACTCTTATTATTCTTATTATGATTACAGTTCCTTTATTTTATCGAATTTAATTTCTTTCATTTATGAAACATGCATGAACCAACAATGTGACTCTAGGAGGTTATTGCTGAGTTGTGCTGATGTCAATTTCATACTGTGATATTTTTTCTCTATTTACCTAGAGATCAGTATTTCAAAATATAACGATGTGCATGTTTTCCCCCCTTCTCCCGCTGCATGCAGGGATTCGGGTTCGTAACTTTCGAGAATAGTGCTGATGCAGACAGGGCCAGGGAGAAATTACACGGCACCGTGGTAGAGGGCCGTAAAATCGAGGTGCATGTCTTCAGTAATTCAATTTCTTCTTTATATTTATTCTTTTGATTTCTTTTTGTGTCTTGCCTCACTTATTTCACATTTGGATCCCAGTCTCGTGTGTGCGTGTGTGTTTGTGTCTGTGTCCTTCACCTCCCTGCACTGAAATGTATAAAAGTTTACACCCCTTATGGAGTATTTTTATTGTTGTTTTGGGTATTTTTTGTTTTCTTTCTTCTTTTATTAAGTTTTTTTCCCACCCACTCCAAATTTTTGCCCTTCTGCTGTCTTGATTTTTCCTTTGCTTCAGTTTGCGAGGCTCCGATTTCCTGTTACCAGGCCTGAACAAAACTAACTGAAAGAGTACTGTCCGACTTCTAACTCTGTGTCCAAAAAAGAAAGCAGGGGGCCAGCCAGTATCCTCTCTTTCCTCCGAGGCCAGTTCTCCTCCACGCAAGTGTGAGATGATGCCCATGGTGGGAGGGGAGGGGAGATACGGGGCAGAAGCCCCGAGTGGGCTGTGCTATACACACCGCTGGTTTCTTGACCTGCCCGCGGTCAAGAATCTGCTCGGTGAAAGCTAATCCTTAAAGTTTCTAGCTCTCACCGCAGGGGAGTTGAAGGGTTAATGTTGGCTGGCCAACATGGCCATATATCGGGCATGCCTGGTGTTGACCAGTTTGGTGTTCCACTGTGCTGAAGGCTAACTGGCGTCTTCCCTCTCTCCCTCTTTCTTTAAAAAAAAAAAAAAAAAAAAAAAAACCTTCTCGTGACTCCCTCTTTCCATGGTAACTATACACAATGCTGGCGATGGTACGAGTTGGCGGTAAGTGAAACAAAAGCGCTAGAGAAGAAGCTTTTTTTTTTTTTTCAATTTTTCTTAAAATTACAAAAAACCAAAATTTAATAAGAAAGAAAAAATCCATCTGCCATCTCACATTAACACTACGAAATGTGATTTGACTTGTTGTCCCCACCCACCTCCTTCCCCCTTCTCCCCCTTTTATTTTCAATGCTGTTGAGTAATGCCGCCTGGATTTTGGATGTACATATCGTTTTGTAGCAGTCTGAGCTGTTTGATTACTGACTTCATGGTGATTTCCCCTTGCACATCTTACTCAGAGTTACTGAACTCCAGTTTGGCTGGTTTTTATTAATGCACCCATTTCCTCTTCTCTCTCTCCTGCCCCTTCTTTCTGCTGCTCTCTTTCTGAGACCTGTTTGTAGCTGTTACTGTTTGTTTTCTCTCTTTTTCTTTCTCTCTCTCTCCCCCTCCCCAGTTTATTTCTTTACTCAGTTAAATGCAGCTGTTGGTCTCTTTGCTGACTGGTGGTTTCTGATCGGTTCTGGCAATTTTTCCTTTAAGTGCTTGTGTTGCACTTTGCTGTAGCAGCTGATTTCAGGCACTTGCTCCATCTTAATGATTGTCTGTGAGACCCTATCTCCTCCCTCCTCCCCTCCCCACCCCCTGAATCAACTGTGGTTTGTTTTTTTTTTTTTCCTTTCTTTTATCTGTGTGTGTTTAACTGCATGCTCTCAGTCTCATCATTGTTGTTTTCCATTCTTTCTTTTTAAATGTGTAATGTTTCTATTGTTTTGGGGCTGAACGAGAGTAAATGTAGCTCCAGACTCCCCACCCTGAGTACGCTCACCATCCATAAGTCTCAAGGGCCCGAGGCAGCTTTTATTTTTATATCAATTTTTTTTTTCTTCTTCACCCTGGCCTCAATTCCCATTTGGCATGGGTTTTGATAAATTATCCATGTTGTATAAAGACTTCACCCTCCTTGCAAGAACTTTGAGGCTGTCTGACACGGGGCTGCAGTAACTTGGCTTCCAAACTGGTCCATCTTTTCATTATCAGCACCATCTCTGTGGTAACACCCCACTTGCTTGAGCAATCAAACTGCTTGGAACTATGCAGAGCTCTGTAAAGAGGGTGGAGGGCACAATAAAACCAAAAAAAGACCTAGGTCTACTGCTATGTATTTCTTCTTTTTGCTCCATGACACTTGTGACAAGGAAAAAATAATCTGGAAAAAGATTTGGAAATGATGGGGAGGACATCGGTGAACGTAGACTGTCCAAACGCTTGGGTGGCGTTCCAGAAATCTCCTCAAGCCTTGGGAGTTCAAATCTAATGCTGATGGACTCCAGGCTATCTTTTTCTATCTAAAAAGTATGCCTGCCAGCGACCTGCTGGGCCCCAATCCCAACAGTGAGCTTGAGAAACAAATGAGCTTGTGCATCACCTGGTTCAGTTCCCCTGCCCTGGGCTGCAGAAGTTATTGCTGCCTCTCAGCCAGAACCTGGGCAAAACCTCCAAAGTTTTGCCCTTTCGATCAATGAGCTGAAAATAAGCACGTGCCAAGGGGTGGCAGGGCGGCGGAGAATCTGCACTTTACTCTCGTTGGCCTTTTGTTTAATGCATAATTTTAAAGTGCCACGTTTAGCTGTAACTTCTATAATTAAATGGCAACTGTTAAAAGTAATTTAAAGATTGCATTCTTGTAAAATTAGTTGTTTAATTTTTTTTTTTTGCTCAGAGAAGTATAGTGTGTGTGTGTGTGGTATCTGAGAGTTTTCCATCGTTTTCCCTAATGTCCTATGCTTCCTTCCCTCTCCTCCCCCTCCCCTTTCTTACTTTTAGGTTAACAATGCCACAGCGCGAGTGATGACCAATAAGAAGATGGTCACACCTTACGCAAATGGTAAGAGAGACTGTACTAATGATGAGCTGAAAGGTTTGAAGGAAGACAAAAGCTTCCTGGTGAGGGAGAAGTCATGGCCTCTCCTCAGGACCAAAACAAAAAACAAAAAAAACAAAAACAAAAACCCCAAAAGAAACCAACAAAAACTGCACAAACCCTAATTTATAGTGTTATTCTTCAGAATAATTCCTAAGCGTTTCTGGAGGAATACCATGTTAGAGGTGGAGAAGTGGGGACAGAGGAGTAGTGACATGCCCAATGTGGCCAAGCTAGGAAAAGAAGCGAAGGACCAATAGGTTTCCTGCCACTACTGCAAGCTGATGCTGTACAGTGGGACGTGCAGTACTCCTGAGTCTCATTGCCATCACGTAGATACCTAAATAGGAATGCAGAAGCATAACTTAGGATACAGAATTGGATATATCTCAGTTCAGGTTCTAACTGTAAAAGTACAGCTGTCCGCAAGCAGCCGGAAAAACAGAGGCATTGCACTGCTTGTTTGCTCACTTCTTGTTACGGACTGTGCCTGTGCTCAGTCATTTTCCAGTGAACCTGAATAGAGAAAGACCAAGTTGTTTGGGTAATGAAGAATCCTGTTTCATCAGGATATCTTGGTTCTTCTGTCTGTGGAGTAATTTTATTGCATAGGCATATATAGCATAAAAAGTCATTCTCCTGACAGAACTGAATGCTGCTTTGATACAGATTTTGAATCTGAGTCTTTGTCCTGAAACAGGCAGAAAAATTCTTTTTGGTCTGAAAATGTTCCCAAACAGCTTCAACAAGGCAGGAAGCTGTACATAGGTAGTTGCTAGTGTGAGAATCTGTTTTGATTACAACGTAAGACTCAGAAGATACGAATTTTATTTGTGGCTCTGCTACTAACTTGTTGTGTGGCTCTTGGCAAATAAATCTTTTTTTGGTTACAGAACTGGGGAAGCAGGGTCAGGCAGAAAGGCTGGAATTCCGGGTCTCTGTGTCTGAAAGGAACCAGGAGATTTTGTAGTAAAAGGCAACACGGCCATATTGTGCTGTCCTGAAAAAAAGGGCAGAAAAATGCGTATGACTGTTTGGTAACAAAACTTGGCTTACTTGTGAAACCCTAATAACGGGCAGGAATATTTTGCTTTCACAGCCAGCAATTTAAAGCCAGCTTTAAAGCTACGCAAAGGTATTTAGTATTGGGCCAGGCTTAAGGCATACAGATGAGTGGCCGTACGACTGTTACTAAATTTGAGGGTTGATCCCAGTCCTCTCATTGCCACCACTCACGTGTGTATTTTGCTGTCAAGGTGGGCAGCGCAGCAGCAGCGTGCCCGGTCTTGCGGAGGGAGCGTGCATCACATCTCTCGTTGATACTCTGCCAGCAGATGAAGGGGTGGTGTTGATGGGCTGCAGTTCACAAAGTTGTTCATATGGTTTCTAGGCTGGTTTGAGGTGTTAAAGCGCAGTAAGCGCATCAGGACTTCAAGACAGAGGAAGGGTATGGATTTATTTAAATAAAAATACCTGTGTGATTGTTAGCTGAACAGCTGAGATCTTTCCTGAAAGGAATGCTTTGTGGAAGCCATCCCAGATCATGATGTTAGCTTTATGCCCCTTTCTTCTCTCCTCACATAGAAAGGTGGGGGGCGGGGAAGACAAATACTATTCTAGATCTGGCTGGGAAATGTGTTTCTCCTCAAACCCTGCAATGACTTCTTTAAGCGCTATTCTCTTGTAGGTTTTAAGTTGATGATTTGCAGTTATTGCCAATTATGCAGATGATATTAAAATCAGTTCTCTGGGAAGGCTTTCACCTGAAAAGCAGCATAAAGAAGACAGGAAATACTAAAATAACACAGAGAGGAGAAAATGTGAGCTGAATAGACTGATTTGCTTTTCTGCACCGTAGTCGTGTAATTCAGTTAGTGAGGAAATTCAGACACTGTTGCTTTTTAGCAGATCTCTAGCAAATAAGAGAGAAGGGTGTTTTGAGAATCAAAGGCTATACATTGACTTGCCCAGGATGACGGTCTGGGCCGGTGGCTTTAGAGAGTTTCTGGATCCTCAGCGTTCCCAGTGAAAGCAGGGAGGAGGTGGAGGAGCTGGCAGCAAGGTTCACGCAGGGAACGCAGGGTCGCACGGTGCTCGTGGCGAATATGCATATAAGGTAGTTGGCATTCCCTCAGCGGCACCTCTGCTGTGCTGCGGATCAGCTGATGTTTTGCTGTTCCCTCCGATACAGTGACCTGTACCTAGAACTTGACATTAGAAAAAGGCAGTTGGCCTCCATCTACACCAAGGGGGATTGAGGCAAAGCAGAAATTGGAAAGAGCTGTGCATGTGAAGCTGGGGTGCACGCAAGAGACCGTTCCCCCTACCCACGCTGCCCGCTCCTTCTCTTGGTGTAGATTTTGGCATTCACTGCAGTCTTTGTTGTTTCAGGTTGGAAGTTGAGTCCTGTGGTTGGAGCGGTGTACGGCCCTGAGTTATATGCAGGTAGAGCTTAAGTAGACACTTCCACTTCTGCCATTTAACTGCAGTGGTGTTTGTTTGTGTTCTCAATCTGCTGTTTCTTTATAACCTTTTTACGTTTTTTGTTTTCTTTTTTTTCTTTTTTTTTTTCTTTTTTTTTTATTCTTTTGAAAATTAAATTAGCGTCCAGCTTTCAAGCAGATGTCTCGCTGGGCAATGACGCCGCAGTGCCCCTGTCAGGAAGGGGGGGTATTAACACTTACATTCCTTTAATCAGTAAGTAGCCCCCGTTGGCCCCTGTATTGTTACTGTGCTTGAGTTTATAATGACCTGTTACCCTTCTTCTCTCCAGTCTGTATAATATATACTTTAAAGAGTTTACCTTGAGCCAAAGTATACTGTGCAGTGGCTGTAACTTGTTCATCTGCAGTGTGTTTCTGTACTGGTGAATGGGTCTTTCTGAGCGATGAGGAGGCTGCAGAACAAGGGGAGGGTGTGTGTGAGGAATAGGCCATTCCCTTGCCCCCCTCCCCCTTTTGAAATCAAAGAAACCAAACAGACAAATCCCTAAAGTACATATTATACAAGCTGCTAAAGCGCGAGTCTGCAGGGCCCCCAGTGGCATGCACCTGGACGCACGTTGGGTTGGGTTTGCGCCCTGGGACTCCTTCCCTCTCGGTATCTGTTTATTACGTGTTTGCAGATGCCTCTGAGGTTTTATATCATTTCATCACGAGCCAGTTTACTCCAGTGTAAAGCGTAATAAAGCAGGCCCCACTATACATGGAGCCAGTTATTGGTCACGCTTGTTAAATGAAGGTGGGCTCTCAGTAAACTGGCACTCTGTGGGAAATATCTGCTGCTGTTATATGGGCTATCTTGTCTTTCAGGCTTTAAAATGAACATACAGAGGATTGGGTGGCAAAGAGTGGGAGGGGAAAGGAGGGAAGAGACTGATGTAAGTTGGTTGATTTTAAGGGCCTCTTGACAAATTATTTTAAAGAGCCTCTGCAGTTTTGGAAGAGCCGCCTGCTATATTGATAGTAACTCTCTGCGCTTCTCGGACTCTAACCAGACTGCATGGCGGTGTAAAAGGCGGTGGGGGGGAGGTTTGTACCCTGTTTGTGGTGGGTGAGGCATGCCAAAGCATTAACCTCTTGCATGCCAAACCTCTCTGCAACCCCTCTTCCCCCAAAGGCCATGGTGTAGCAGGAAGTATGTATCGGATGCTTGCTGGGTTATAAGCATGCCCCTCTGCAGGATTGATGCAAAATGTCCCACCGCTGTGGAGCTATTGTGTAACTTTGTTTGAAGCAGACAGTTGTTCTCTGGGCAGCAGCTCGGATCCTTTTCACCCTCCACCTTGTCTGTCTTTACAGTTCCAGGCTTCCCCTATCCAACTGCAGCCACCACAGCAGCCGCATTTCGGGGAGCCCATCTGAGGGGCCGAGGAAGGACAGTGTATGGGGCAGTCCGGGCAGTACCTCCCACAGCCATCCCTGCCTACCCAGGGTAAGCACTGGTCACAAGAGCAGAGTGCTCTGCACAACCGTGTCAAATAGCTGATTCGTTAACCAAAAAATAACTAAAATTGTCTGGATGGTGAGAGTCAGGATACTGCTAGTGCCAGAGCATTCTGCACACTATGGCATCCAGTGGGGGCACATCTAAATTTTTCTGCATTAAGTTCTTGACTGAAACAATTTTCAGTACTTGCAACAGCTTAAAGCGCTGATGGATTCCTTCTTACAGTTTCTCAATTTGTCTACATGGTATTCGTCATCCATTGACCCAGTATGTTATAGCGCTGCTGAGAAGGACGCAAAGAGAGAAGGTCTAAAATTTCCAAAAAGGTTCTGCTCTTTGCACTCCATTTGTGTTTTCATATCCAGGAATGAGGAATATTATCCATTACCTTCATGCCTCACCATCTGGCAGTAGGACACAGAAGAGCCAGTTACCCACAATGGATTTGCTTTCTTTGTTGGAGACGGTTTAAAAAGGTTTAAAACAAAGATTAATCAAGTCCATTAATTTAAAATTGGGAGCGTTTGGGATATAGGGAGAAGGAAAGTGCAGCGTTCTTCTAACTGTTGTATGAAGCAATGGTGAACGCGTGGCCTTAGCATTCTTTGCCCTCTTGACGTTTCTCTAGTAATGCAGTGGAATAGATGCTGTTACAAAGGAGTATTCTGCTGTTTAAAAATATAGGGAACTAGGTTCGTATGTGACTTTTGGTTTGGGTTTGTTTTTGTTTCAGTGTGATGGAATTACAGATAAATCAGCAAATCCCTTGCAAACTGTCTTTTTATGTTCTGATTTTGAGGATGCTTTATGCATATTGCCTGTCTCGGGAATTTTACTTGCCGTATTTTCCAGGCAACGTTCTCAGAAAGAATAGGAGTAGGAATGAATCCTCCAACACAGAGAAGTGTACTGACCCTTTTTTCCTTTAGACTAGCCCCAAAAGGGAAGAAAATAAATTATAAATCTTTTGATAAAAAGGGATGTGGAAGCCGCACACATCAGTGCAAGGAGCTGGCTTGATACACGCTGGATAAACTTGCAGTACCTTCTGTAGCAGATTCAGTGGTGAGAGCTACTCTGGCCCATTCTTTTTAGAGCTCAGTCTGATATTTAAAGTGAAGCTTAAGGAAGCAAGCTGCAGTGGTCATGTATCTGTCTAGCTTTGCTCTCCGGCAAGTCTGGCAATATTTGTATTTAATTCACCAGAAGACTTTAAATGAAACCTCTTGTCTGAACACGTTGGCCTTCTGAACAGCGTTTCTTCTGGGTTTTCAGATCCACCTCTTTTTGCCACCACTCCTAGTTCTTGTTCAATATCCTCTAACCATAGCCTCTGACCTGCAACTTGTCTGTTGCTTTAAAAATGACCCAGTCCAGTTTTATTAGGAAATGCTCCACAGTGAAACAGAGAAGCAAAGCTGACCTAAGTGCTGCCGTCTAGCAGAATATGAAATACTTGCACTGGGGAGCGGGGATGTGTTCTTCCTCCCTGGGAGTAACAGCTGGAGCATTCCTAGCAAGAGGCGGTCACGAGTGGCACACTGGGAGGACTCTAGGCTTGTCTTTGATGTAAATCCAGCCTGAGTCCTGTATAAAAGGTTTATTTCCATTTGGAATATGGGCTGGGCTCCAATGATTATCCCTTCCAAATACTGTCTCATGACTGTGTTTACTTACGTTACGTTGAGTTTGTCCCTGCTGACTGATTTCATGTCTTCATGGGCAGCGTACTATCCAGTAAACATTTGCAGGGCAGCAGTAAACAGAGCAGGTTCACAAATGGCCCAGAACTGTCCCTAGTCCCAAGCACTGGGATGTAATTAACTAATTCTGGTGTTTATTGTCATCATAGTCTGAATCTCTACAAGATACTCTGTAGAGGGAATTTGATTCCTCGTGCAATAATACAAAATGTGCTGTTCAGTTCCATGTTGTAGTAACCTGTAGGAGAGCTACCGCTCCATGTGGGCACAGTTGACCTCCATGGAGTCAGGGACAGGCACACATTCCTGACACCTTACCCTGCATCAGTTGCTTTGTTTCTGGCCAGTGGAAAGATGACACTGTAAGATCAGTCAGCAACATACAAGTGATCAAGACAGTGAGTACTTTGCAGAAGACAGACAGTAAAGTAAGCTGCAGGTTAACTCAAACCTGGTAGAAGGAATTGGTTTTCACAAACCTCAGTGGTGTTTAAGTTTTAAGTTACAAAACCTAATGGTATCACTGCATTTGAGAGCTTAGCAGAATTCAAAAATACAGAATGTAGATTAATAAAAGCTCATTGGAATTGCCATACTGGATCAGACCTGAGGGCCATTCAGGTTAGAGTAAGTTTTGACAGTGTCTAGTGCTAGATACTCCAGAGGAAGGTGCAAGAAATCATATCGTTCTTAATAGTTTTAACATTTATTTCAAGAGCTAAAACTAAGATTTACTAATGCGTATGTGGAATGTACATACTTATATATGGACATGGGAAGGCTATTCATACCTTAGAAAGCAATTGCTCAGACCATTGGAGAGGGTGTTAGATGGTCACCTGAGCCTGACCTCAGAGTACAAATGCAACCTTCAATTTATAACCGAGGCAGTATTCAATAGAAGTAAGGAGACATTATAACCTCTGATATATAGCGTGAGTAAAACCTGTACTGGAATATTGCCCTGATTTGTAGCGGCCATGCTTTCTAAACAAGAATGCTGACAAATTATGCTTCAGACCAAAAGCTGTAATGAGTAAGTCAGTCTGAAAAAAAAACTTGCCTACTGTAAAACTCTCAAAACTAAATAAGCTTGATCAATTTTATTTCTCAGACTATAGGTTAGGCATTAACTTGTCCATGGTCATTAAGTACCTATATGAAGAGTAGGCTTGCCATAGTAGAGAATAATTTAGTCTAGGAGCGTAAATATATAGAGGATTCACTGACTTGAAGCCAAAAGTAGAAAAAAGTCAGGCTAGATATAAGGCAGTAGGGAGCTTTGGGGGTTTGGAGTGGTTTTTTGGTTCCTTTTACAACAAAGTCAACTGTTGGTACACCTGAATGATATGATGGTTGCTTTACAAAACCAGCATATTTATTTTTCTCATGGATGTGTTTTAGGTCAGATAGTGGGCTTTTTGCAGATGCCACTGAGATTTGATGGGCTGCTGAGCTGCTTTATGCTTCTGGTCAGTCTACATAACCTGAATGGTCTCTGTGGTTCTCAAATGAAGGAATTCTCTCAGTTTTTGCTAGCATTAAGAATCACAAATATGGATATTCTAGCATATAAATAAACCTTGCTAAATTTCAGCCCTGGCAGTTGGTGTCAGTTAAGTCCTAACTGAAGGAGAGATGGAGGGCGTACGTGTGCTTTGTTGTTTGGACTCAGGAAGTCTTACTCTTACCTGTTATTAGTGTTCCTTGCAGTTTTCTCTGGAGAGCTGATGCTAGCATCTCATGCTGACAGGATTCTAAGTTACAGGAATAGTGGCCTGATCCAATGTGGTAATGCTTATATTCATCCAACTGATTGTGTTCGGAATAACTGTTAAAACTGCTAACCTGTTCATAAACCAACAGTCACTTCCTCTGTCATGCGTTTGCCTTTCCTGCAGGAGCAGGTGGAGTATCACTGCTAAAACACTCCTGGTCCTAGATAGAGAACCCAGCAATGTAAGTCACTGCCCCAGGAGCCAAATTCTTTGTTATGTGGTTGTAAAAATTCAGCTTCAACAAAAATGATCTTATGGCCTGCTTCTCCCTGCTGAAGTGGCTCCCCTCTTCCTCTAACAAGGGTCTCTATCTTCATATCTGCTCCCAGTGCTCTTGGAGACCGTAGTAACTCTGTCCATTGGGAATGGAGTGTACTTTTCCTGGGGAAGACAGCAAGACTAAATTATTCAAGCAGTAGCTAACACTGCAACAGATTTATTTTTTTTAATTTTATTTTATTTTTTAGTAATAGCATGCAGAATTTTGGCAAGATCTGCTGGGCTTTTTTTGTGTGTGCGTGCCTTACAATGGGTGGGTGTCTGAGGGTGGCAGGCTCTTGGCAGCATTTCATATTCCATCTGATGAGTAAAAAATGATAATCAAAAGAAAAGCTAGTGTTCCATACCTTCCTTTTCCTTAATGCTACTGGTAAGTCATGCACATCAGATCCATGAATATCACAGATGGCGGGGCTAATGCTTTTTAAAGCCTTGAGCGAGTTTGTGCGGAGCTATTCAGAGGACAAAGCAGGAGGAAATTCCTCGTTAGGAAGCACACGCTGAACTCAAACGGGTGGGGGGTGTCCCCTCTCTTCCTTCCTCATCCTTCCCTGACCCCTGCCCCCAGAGCGAGCTGCACAGTCTTACGCTAGTGAATGCTCTGGTAAGAGTGGCTCTTTGGGAACCCCAAGCTCTGGTTTAACAGTTTTCCTGCCTGAAGTTCTGAGAGAAAGAAAGCTATGGCTTAAAGCAGAAAAAGCACCATCCCATGGAAACCCTTCCAGTTGCTCCTCTCTGCTACGGAATAGGTCGTTACTACCAGGGACTCCCACTGCACCTTTCAATTCTCGGACCTTGGACCAGTCACCTAACCTTTTTAGCTCATTATCTCTGCTTGTGAAAGCAATGCATTGTGGGTATTTTTGGTTTTTTCTTTTTAATTACATTTCTCTGTGTTTACTTTGATCAGAATTGATTGACTTGTTTTCCTGAGGTGTTGCATTGGTTCTTTAAGATGCTGAATAATAATACTTTGCATGCTTGTGTGATCAGCCAAATCTTATCGCATGTCTAATGTGCAGGGTAAAAGCAGGTGATGTATGGATGTCAGAAACAAAGTCATGCAGCCCTGTGAAGCTCGAAATACGTAATCATACACAACTCTCTGAAACGTGCTTCTGACATAGGTGACTCCAGCCCCTGTGGGATGCCTTCTGAGGGGCTCCTCGATTTCACAAGCCCACTTCATGAAGCCAATGTTTCCATGTGTTTAGGGGGTAACTAAAATCATTCCAGGAGAATAACCAGAGCGGAGGTTTCTAAACCCTCATTTCTCTTCTTCAGGACATCAGATCTTTTTGAGTCTATTTTTATTGTACAAGATGGTGGTTCCCCTCCCTCTCTCCTTTGCATACTGTCTCCCCCTCTGCCCGCCCCTTCCCCCTTTGCATGCCGTGGAAAATGACTTGGAGCTGTCTAGCGTTCGTGCGCACACACATTCTCTCGCTGATATGCTCCTGCCAAAAGCCCAGGTTGTGGATTCATACATCACCTGCCTGTGTAAAACGCATGTGCATGCTGCCGTCCTCAATAACCGGAATGTGTTTTCTGTTCTTTTGTTTTTTGTTTTTTGTTTTTTTTTGTTTTTGTGTGGATTTTCTGCAGTGTGGTTTACCAGGACGGATTTTACGGTGCTGACCTCTATGTAAGTACACACACCGGAGCCTTCTCGTCCCCAACCCCTGACAAGCCAGCCTTTTTTCTTTTTTTTTCTTTTGGTTTGTTTGTTTGGTTTGGTTTGTTTTTTTAAAGTATCATTTACTTTAATTTTCTTCTTCCTTGTGGATATATATATTTATATATTTAGGAATGCAAGCATGCTTCTCTGTCACTGCGCTTGCCCCTGGGTGCAAGACCTAAGCCTTTGGGTTTCCTGATCATTGCCAGGGTCAGTTTACTGGGTGTCCTGTCCCCCACATGCACACTGCTACTAATCAACCTGAGAGATGATTAGCAAATTAAAATTTCTCTCAACACTTCTCTCGTTTACATGATTTGGATATAAAAATAACAGGACTGGTTTAGCCTCAGATCTTCCCTTTCCTTCTCCCCCTCCGCCCTCCCCTTTCTCTCCCCTCTTGGGGCCCTTTCAGGTTTGATTTGTGCAGCCCACACTAAACTGAGCGAGAGCTGTATGTTTAAAAATGTTCATGTGCCACTGGGATGTGGAGATTATTCCTTTGGGGAAGACACTGGGACTGATTAAAAATGGGGACCGAGATGCTAGAGTGAAAACTGACATCTCATTTTGCTGGTAGAAATGGTACCTAAATAGGCTAGATTCTCTCACCTCTTTGGGGAATTGTAAAGTACAAATATGTGGAGATGTTCGGTTAGAAGAGTCAGCAGCCTCCTCCTGTCTGGGAATTAGCTCTGATACCACGGGAGACTTTGTCCTGTCGTTGTCTTTGTCCTACCCAGCCAGTCCGTATTGCAAATCTCCAGGGCATCTGTGTATACGTAGGTGGGTTGTGGATGGACAGATTCTGACTGGCCTGTGAGAAAAGCAGTTTCCTCTCCGATGGAGAGCTGTTGCAGGGCAGCTATGGTAGGAATACGCCTTTCAAAGCCAAAACATTCAGGTCCACTACTGCCATTGTAACTTGTGGCCTGCCTAGCTCTAGCAGAGTTCTCTTTCATGGTATTGTAGGTAATAGCTCTTTGGAGCTGGGGAAGTTGTGCATTGGGTAGTGGCACGGTTGTCGGCATGGATTTCACATCCCCGCTCCTTTGAAGGTGCTACTCCTGACATTTATAAAGAGGACCCTGGGGTTAGACTCAAGATGATGGACGGAATTACCTTTTGGATTTTGTTGGCTTATATGGAGGGTCAAGTCTTGTAAAGGTGCTTTTCCTAACACAGTTACAGCAGTTGGAAGACATGCTCTCTGAGCATAGAGATACTGGGTGTATTTCTTCATTCTTACATACACTGTCATGTGCGCAGTCCTTTAAAAATTGATCTGCCTAGTCAAGTGTTCCTTTATAAAACTGTGTCAAGGACTACAGAGGGTTCTGGGTGTTCCTGCCTCACTCCTAAAGCACCAGCTTTACAGACCACTGACTTTGCTGCAGCAAGTAAGCAAGCAAATGAGCAATGCTTAGTTCCTCTTCCCTCAGAGTATGGCATATAAGAGGCTGTCATGTTGAAAGGGAAGACTGGCCAGGGTTATTCCCTATTTCTTTTGAGAATGCTCCTTCAGAGCTTCCATTGCAGGTGGGGAGGAGAGGCTTATTTAACATGTTTTAAGGACAGAGAACGTCAGTAATGAAGAATCCCCGTAACCACTTGGTGCTGCAGTGCAGTGCATCATGTAATGCCAAACCAAGCCCCCCCAAGCCAGGTTAGAACCGTTAGGTGGACTTCTGACGACTTTGCTCTTGGCGGCTCTGGTCTCCCTGTCAGAAAGCAGGATAATTAGAAGAGGGGACTCATCAAGGTAGATGGTGGTGATTTTTCCGATGTTATTGCTGCCCAGAGCCCTCCGATGGTGCTCAGGGAAAAGTTACTGTAATCCGAACATGAAGTTACCCTTCCAAATAATTTGCTTGGCACAGGTGGAATGGTTACAGTGTCCCTATGCCCCACTGATTTGTCGTGCTTTTCACTGCAGTGCTTACGTCCCTCTGGTTGCTGTGAAAGGCTTGTCCAGATTGTGGAACGGATGGCAGAGGGTGCTTCATTTAGGAATGGGGGGAAAGTTAAATTGAGGTTCTCTTGGGTCTTCTGCGTCCGTAGGGTTGTGTCAAGGAAGGGTGGAAAGGAGCTGAGCTGGCAGGGAGTGGTTAGTGGTAGGCAAGATGAAGGGGAAGTGTCCCAAGTTTGGGCTGCTTTTTCTGCATACATGTTATGCACCAATTTCTCATCTTCCTCCTCCTCCTCTTCCTCACTCCTTTTTTCTTTCCTGGGGCAACCATCCTGCTAGCCATTTCTTCTGTGAAGAAGGCATTCCATCTCCTGTTGGATGCATCTCACTCTGGCAAGACACCTGAATTCATAAAACAACCTGCCCCAGGATGCAGAGGGCTTCATTTCGGATCATAAGAAAGGTTATCTTTCTTCTACAGTGGGGTCAATCTGGGCGGCGGGGGGGAAACCCAAACAAACCCACCCATGCGAAGACCGCTCCTGCCTGTGAAAAGCGTGCTTGCATCCACTGGAAAGAAAAGGCTGGTGAGCCCCGCCGCGGGCTGTTTGTATGATTGTTTCTTTCCACAGCTGTGTTTTTTTGAACTGCTCTTCCTGTGTTCTGTTATAGAATAGTCTTACAGGAACCAATCATTAGCGCTAAAATACCTCAGGTAGGAGTGCCAGTGTGACCTGCCAACCGATCAGATTGTGGATTGCAGTGGAAAAAACTGAATTATACTAACCATTCCAGCACCACATTAGAGATGGGAACAGAGGCTTTTTTAGGGCAGCGCAGACTCACGTGTGATCCAAGCCCCCGCTATGGCAGGGTGGCATGTGTCCAGATTTCACACCGAGTGGCATTTCATTCAAAAAAAAATAATAATATAAATTCAGTGGAAGGGTTAACGAGGTCATGCTTGTCCCATTACCATGTAGAAGCACCTGCTGCAATGGACACCGTTGTCCTGTCACCTCTTCTAATTCATTCATGCTCATTCCTGGTGCAGATATGCCACCCTTCTAATACAGAAATACTGGAAATGGTTCTGGCCCTTTCTGCTTCTTAACTTCTGTTATAGGGCAGTTTGGGAGTGGAGAAGGCACATTTGAGATACGACAAATAAGATCCTAAAATTGGGCTCACTGCCTAAACCTGGCAGGTGGTCAAACGTATCTAACTGGTACCATGAGTTACACATTTCTCCAGGGGTATGAGAACGCTTGTGTCTTAGTGGCATAAAGGCTCTTTGGAGTCAAGAGGGCCAGCAACACGCTTTGTGCGCCCATCTAAGGCAGCAAGGGAAAAAGAAAAGGGAGGCTTATACCATAGGATACACTGACATAGTAAGCAGTAGTTTTGGATTTCCTCATGTTCTCGTTGGATTGATCACCTAATATGGACTTGAAGAGTGGAAGAGAAAATGGACTTATTTTGAGCTGAACTGTATAGTCTTAAAGTGCTCATTTATCTACATTAACATGCTCAGTAATTGGAATGCTGCTTTAGTTGGGATTGCAGCTTCCTGTATATGTTGTTTTGCCATGTTTGTGTTATTTCAGAGAATATATGACAATATCGAAAAATCTGTCATCTAATGTTAAAGAAGGAATTTTAAAAAAATATTTTCTTTCTTTGTTGATGAGCCAAGGATGATAACAACACAGAAAAGTAATTTTAAATTTGGGCTTTTGTGAATACCTGAGCAAATACTGTTGTTTGACAGTTGAGATCTATAGGCTCAAGCGCTGCACATTCACAAGGGGAAAGGGGTTTAGCACAGCCCCAGCAACACTGGCAGGATACCCAGAGAAAGAGAACTTGAATTAAGATAAGCAGCATTTAGGGGTATGTTCATCTCTCTCACATGCTCTCCAGACAATCCAAAAGACTGTACCAGAAAGGACCAGTCTTGATTTAGACAGTCCTTTTGGTTGTTACTGCCCAGTAAAAATCCATAAGCCTTTTCCTTAGTTCCCCTATTTCCTTGTCGAGGCAGTGTTTAAACTGTCCCTTTGATAGAAACGTCTCTGACTTAACATCTTCGCAAGAAGCTCAGCCACACTTTATTTTTTTTTTTTTTTTTTTTTTGAGATGAGGCTAAAGATTTTAAAACCTAGATGGGTAAACATGTCCCTGTGGAATCACTTCACTTAAATAGATGAAGTGGGAGTTCGCATGGCTGTCCTGGGTTTCAAGGACTATGCCACTCAATGGTGTCTTCTGTTGCAGTTTGGCTGTGGCACTGGAGGAGTGTGGTGCAGCTCGCAAGGGCTTTTTTTTTTTTTTTTTATATTCTTATTTCTTTTATTGAGAAACACGATTGTTCATGTTTGTAGAAGATGCTCTACTCTGTTATAGTTTATATTTACTAGAGTACCCAAAGAAGTGAGTGGCATCAGAAATCACTACGGGTGGTAGGACCATGTGGCTGAGGTTACGGATGAGCTTGTGCATACCAGTTAAAGTTGTGTGTGAACAGGAATAGCAGGAGAAAATAACTGGTGCATTGGACAAGCTGAGCAGGGCTTTAGATGCCTTGATGGAGTTATAGGTGGGTCTTGGTTTATGGAGAACAGGAGCATCAGCTGGGTAAGGCAACCTGCACAGTTTCTCCTTCGCTCTGTACTGGTCCCAGAGCTTGGTGAAAGCATTTATGAAATAATGAGTAATAGTCGCAACTTTCCTCCTCTTTCCTTCACCCTGTTTTGGTGTATTTGGACCTGCTGGTCATGCTAAATACATTCCCGTGTCAGAAATCCCCCAGCTGTCCACACTCATTGCTCCTATGACAGGAACGTACCATGGCCATTATAATCCCCATTTTTGGTTTTATTTGAAGTACACACAAGTAGAATTTGCAGACCGCTTTGAACTGAGTGGGTCTGCCCATGCGTGTGTACCTCTATCCTGTGACTTTTTTTTTTAAATTAACAATAGCTTCAATTTTGCATCAGTGCATGGTTAAAAAGCAATACACATGTCAGCTATTTCTTAACTTCATTCCTCCAATGAATTATTTCTCCTGTTTTTTTTGTTTGTTGTGCAGTTGACTGAAGAAATGTTAACATCCCGCTCTAAATCTCTCAGTGGAGTCTCTGTTCCCTTCTCTGATATAACAGATGGGTTATTGCTTGTTATAATTATTAACATTGTGGTGTGGGACAGGGCTAGGGTGGGAGCCATTTCGGGGGGCGAGGGGGGGAGGCTGCGGGAGTCGTTAAGGTTGGAATGTTAACTCCAGTGGTGACTGACTGTTTCCGTAATAGCAGGTTGTTGTGGCTGCACGCTCTAGTACTTGAGGCTGTGTACTTCACTGAGCTTGTGGTAGAGCCTAGGGCGAACTGCTGTCCCAAGAGAATGCTGGGATGGATAGAACTAGCCAATATGAGTCTGAACGTGGTGACTTTGCTGGTTGTTCTAGCTCCAGATGTCAGCATGCTTAGTTTTTAATTTTGATTAATAAATGTTACGCCATTCCCCCTCCCACACCTGATTCCAACCCTTCTTTTCTTTTCTTCTTTTTTTTGTTTTGTTTTGGTTTGGTTTGGTTTCGTTTTCCTTTATGAGAGACACGAGTTAAAAGAGAATTACATGATAACCCTTTTTGGTTTCAAACTGCATCTCGCTGTCATGTTCAGAGTATGTGCCAGGCACATTTGAAATGGCTTCTGATCTGAAATGTGGCTGGCAAGTGTGCAGGGCAGAGTGGGAACCGGCTGCGCGCTGAAGCCAGCTGCCCTGAGGAGGGTTGTGCCAGGTGAAAATGCCTCATGCACCGTGCCCAAGTGACAGACCCCATCAAGAGTTCAGGAAGCTTGTAAACTTAAGGGAATACCACCATGACATTGGTATGAAGTTTTGTCTTAATTTAGTGAGGTCAGTGAAGGTTTGATTTGGATTAAGGCTGCACCTCATTCCTCTCATCTCAGTCATGTTTTGGAGGTGGGAGTAATGGTGATCCAATGATAGCATGCCAAAACCAAGCTAAACCTCCCCAAACCATCAATCCAAGATGCAGGGGTTGAAACAGCTAGATGAGATTAAAAGGGCAAAACTGCAACATGACATCTCTTTCAGGCAACGTGGTGATCTTTCAGAGCTGTAGATTTGTGTTGTTCTTTCTTCTCTTAACTAGAAGATTGAAGAGGCTGTAAGTCCCTCTCTTCCAGAGTAGGAAAGGGTCCCCAGGTGTGTTTCGGATAGCATGTTAGCCTTTGTGGGGCTAACACAGGCCCCACAAAAGCAACGAAAATTAATTTAAAATCATTACTTCTAATTTAAAAGCTGCCTAGCCCAAAACTGAGCACTGCTGAGCAAACACACAGTCCTGTAGTAGAGCTGATCTTGTGCTCTTAGTTATATATATGCAAAAGATCTATAGGGAAGAAGTGGTAGAGGTATGCTGACCTGATTCTGAAGGTGAAGAGCATAAGTCTGCCTTCTGGTCCTTCAAACTCTGAAATGTCAATTGTCAGGGGAAAAAAAAAGCCAGAAGCAATCTGGAATTTTCTGATGTTATTTATGGCTCATTGTGTTGCTAGCAAATCAAAGCCATGGTTCATTTAGCACTGCCACCCCCAAGTTAATAAAAATGTGTTCAGAAGTGTGCAATAAAGAAAGAACTAGCCTGGGCTTCAGAGCCGTCTTTGCTGCCTGCCACGCAGCCTTTGCCCCTGGTCTGAAAGGTGGCTGGCCTCCGTCCTTCGTTACCGCAGGGTGTGCAGAGCTGCCTGTCTGAGCCAGGTCATCTTCTGCCCCCAGAGCTCCTTGTGGGAGCTCCAGGAGGAGACTCGCAGGTCTTCTTCTGGGTCAGGATTCACATTTTGCCAAACCAGCTCTAAGTACGTTTTTAGTAACTACCTCTTATAAGTGTAAGCATTTTAAAGACCTTTACTACAGGTGTGTAGCGTGGGCAGAACAGCAGCAGCAATACAGACTGTTCTGCCATAATTTCCCCTGACCTGTTTCCTTCTTACGTGGAGGGAGGAGAGAACAGTCTGGTTGATATCCATATCAGTTTGCTTGTTGCCAGCCCTGAGACCACCAGGGACTGTTTTCTGAGCATCTTTTCCTGATTGCTTTTTGGCTTCTCAGGCTATTGATACTTCTACACATCTGGACCAAATGAAATTCTAGCCTTTTGGGTTTCCCAGGCTTAAAAAAGAGAGAGAGGGGGGAAAAAAGCAGGAATTTCTCTGAATGGTCCCCTTTCTAAAACACTTCACAGAAAGTGCCTACCTCTGATTTCCCCAGCGTAAGAGGAAGGGAACATAAAAGTTACATTGCATGCAAGATTTCAGCTCTCTTCTGGTTTTCAGTTCGTCTATGCCAAATTTAATTTCCTGCAGGGATATAACCATGCTCAGGCTTGCTTTAGTTTATTCCTTCTGCTAAACGGGGTAATGGAAGAGTCTCCCTGGTTCTTCTGAGGAAAGGAATATACACGAGTTAATGGGCGATGCTTGCGATAGACATGACATGGGAGCTGATGCAGTTTGAAACACTTCCTCTCCTTGTGATGTGTGTGACTTTTTTTTTTATTTTTATTTTTTATGCTCTGCGTGGGTGGACAGGTATCTGTAAAGTCAGTTCTCTTCTCTCCTGCAGGGTGGATACGCAGCCTACAGATATGCACAGCCTGCTACTGCAACAGCAGCCACGGCCGCTGCAGCCGCTGCAGCAGCTTACAGCGATGGGTATGTAAGGGGGAGGTGTCTGTGGGGGCTAGCTTGCTGTGCTCAGGGATTCAAGGAGCATTGATCCATTACAGCACTTCGACTTCCTTTCCTGTTTCTTTGTCTTACTTGCACTCGCACGTGCACACATGCATGCACAACCCAACATGAAAGACTTGAATGCACGGTTTGTCTCTCTGCTGCCGGGCAGTATTGCCCTCCGGTGTATGTGAGCTGGCACAAATCCTGGCCTCTTCCCTGTCCTTGTGATTCTCTGCACAAAGGAGGCAGTGTGGTTACGGCCTCAGAGTCAAAAGACCTGCTTGCCTTGCCAGCTCCTTGCTCTGTGACTCTGGGCAGGTTGTTTAATCACTGGCTGCATTTCTCTCCCCATCCATGAAGTAAAAAATTGCTCAGCTCATACAGTACTCTAGGATGCTTTAACGTGCAGCTCTGTATAGATACAAAGGATTATCATCATCAGAGTGCTTGCCTTAAGATTTATCATCTCCTGTGCAGTGAGGCCGTGTTTTAATCCTAGCGCATGCGAGACCATTAAAGTTTATACTCGCTTCTCATTCTGGAGAATCCCTCGCTGATTTCCATTTAGCAGCTGTTACTGTGCCAATAGCGCTAGCGCCAGCAGTCACTCTCCTCCCAAATTGCATCACGCGAGGTAAGGGATGCACTAGCTGTCATTTCAAAGGTGCTGACCTCTTTCCTACTGGTCGAACTCATGGCTTCTGCCACATTCCTCCTTGCAGGCTGTTCTCTTGCCCATCTCATGTGATGCATGGCAGCATGCCCATAGGATCTCTTTGAAGAAGGGCTGCCTGCATGCATGTGTGTAAATGTATGCATACATGTGTGTAGAAGGGCATGACACTTCTTCCATTGCCTGTGATCAGACAGCTGTTTCTCTGCCCCTCCAAAGTGACTCTTTTTTTTTTTTTTTTTTTTAATATCTTTTCTCCCTCTCTTCAGTTATGGCAGGGTGTACACAGCAGATCCTTACCATGCCCTTGCCCCTGCCGCTAGCTACGGAGTTGGCGCTGTGGTAAGTGGGATTTTCTTTCTGGTGCTGTTTCTTATTTCCAGCATGGGGAACAGCTGTTCACTGGGTATCAGGTAATGAAACTTCACCTAGAAATATTTTTTTGTTGAGGAGGTCCTTAGCTGCAGTCCTGGGTTCCCAGCTGTTCTGCATTCGTATGTTGGTGTGCGTGCACTAGGAAAGGAGTCAGATTGTAGGAGACAAGTTATCACTTGGTCTTCCACATCACGTAGTACAAAGGAGGTGGTAGAAGAATGTCCAGAATTGTCAGGAGCTAGAACATGGTTGGCGAATCAGTAGAACTGTATCAAGGTGATATATAGAGCAAAAATCAGCAATAGTTAGAGGTGCAAGACACCCTTTCTTGCCATTTTCATTAACTTTAAAGGCCTTGCATGTGGAGAAATCAGTTCTAGGAAGCAAGGGAATAAGTTGTTCTCGTGACATCTTGCACCAAAGCTGCTCCACTTGGTTCCCTCTTCCACTAGTGGAAGGATGCAGTGTCCTGCCTGCCAGCAGTAGTTATGCAAGCAGGAGTGAGGTATGCTGGCATCAGAGGGGAGTGGAGCAGCTTGCTGAAAACACATGCTTGCCCATCTGCTTCTAGCCAGCGCAGTATCTGTGTTGTTGCAAAGGCTGGAACACAAATGTGTTCAGAGAAAAAGACACCTAAATATAGATATCTGCAGTGTAGCACCTCCGTTTGAGCCTCAGCTCATCGTGTGGATTCTCTCTAGGGTCAATGAAGGAAAGGCAGGTACTTCTAGGATACCAGGTCATCATGTCTATTTTAGACCTTTACCTTAAGGTGAGGTGAAGAGCATCCTAGAAGTCTTGGTCTCTAGTCTGTAAAGACAGCCTAGACAACTGGCTCAGAGATTAGGACTCATGAGTCCCATCCCTAGGACTGAACTCCCTTTGACCGAGACTTGCCAAACTTCACCTCCAGCTGGTTGGTCATGAGCATGTCCTCCTGAGCCATGTCTTGGTTTTGCAGGCAAGGTTCTCCTCTCTTGCTTCTTAGAGGTGCTAATGGTGGCGGGTCAGTGCCAGGACATGTCCGTTAGTCCTTCCGAGAGCATTCGGGTGCTGTCCTGAGAATTTCTTCACAGTTCACCTCCTAACAACCTCTTCTTCTCTTGTTTAATTTCTACAGGCGAGTTTATACCGAGGTGGCTACAGCCGATTTGCCCCCTACTGAAGTGACGTGAGCCCCCTGCAAGTGGGACAGCCCCCCCAGTTCATGAGGCCTGGCTATTGCAATATTTACTAGTAGAGGAACTCTATAGCAAGATGAGGAGGAAAAACAAAAAACAAAAGAGAAAATACTTTTTTATACCTCACTATGTTCTTTGAATATGTATTTTTTTTTCCTTTAAATTTCTGCCTTTAATTCTTTTGTTCCAAAGATTGTGCATTTTTTTGTTTTTTGTTTTTGTTTTTGGGTTTTTTTTAACTGTGGTAAAAATAATGCATTTCCGTGTCTGTATGTTGGTGCATAGCTTATCCTACCAATCACGGAAAAAGCAATTAGCGATAAGGAAAGCTGTTAGAAACCAATATCGTGGAATTAATCAGGAACGCGCAGACAGAGTTACTTCCCTGGGTCTGGTGCTTGGTGCCTGTGAGACAGGAGGACGTGAGGGAGAAGTCTTCACCTGCCGTGTTTCTGTTCCGCAGAAGGAAGCACTCTTTGGCTGTGGCTGGGACCTTAATGCTGGTGGGAAATAGTCATTTACATTCGAAAATGGGGGAAATGCAGAGACTTTCCTCGTTTTTATCACCACCTGACACGCACAGGTTTGGGACAGTTTCAGCAGTGTCAGTATTTTAGACTTGGCAAGAGAAGATTTCCTCAACCCGCCCAAAGACTTTGGCTGTTATCTGCTGTATAGGGGACAAGACTTTGAAAGGAATTTTTGATGAGGATGATCTTTCCCCACCCCACACAACTTACTCTAGCTGATTGTTGTCCATTGCTGATGGCTGTAATTATCTTACTTTTCCTTCCTCCTTTTCAAGATCTTTCTCCCTTGCTGTCCCTTTCCTCCCCTTCTTTCCTCGAGGAGTGGCAGATGCAATGCAGCATCACACAGAGTACCTCTCTTACAGACAGCAGGCGGTTAAACTTGCAGAGGTGAAGCGCACGCAGCCTTGCAGAGGAAGAAAGCTAGCAGAAGAACCATGCATCAGTGCCGTGCTCGGGTGCTCCGAGGTCCAGTGTGCAAGGTCTCTCCTGTTCATCCTGAGCTGCTTAGGCACTTCTGCAAGTAATCTGTTTCGAATAACATGAGTGAGGAAAAACAAGTCATGTATAAGCTGCTTGAGGCAAGGGGCAAACATGGGTTTGTGTGGGGGAAGAGGGTCTTTTATATCTAAACGTGATCCTGAAATAGTTTTGTTTTGGTCAGGAGTTTAAGGGGACGCAGAAGCAGTTTGTGCAAGCTCTGAATTCATAGGAACTTCCCACCACAACCTATTTCAGGCCATTACATAGTTGCATTGGAGCCCCTGGGTCTTTTTTGCCCAGCCTCTCATAGAAAGTTGTGCACCTGGTCTGCTGAGTCCATATATAGACACTACATATTAGAAGATTTGGAGGCAGAGAAACTATTTAGGGGAGGGCTCCACGACTCTCAAGACCATCCCCCTTCTGCTGTCACATGCAGTGATTTCACTGTGTTTCAAAGTCAGCATTTTTAGATGATGGCCTGAGCTGTGCTGTGATAGGGAGTTGCTGCTCTCCAGACCTCCCTGCTCAGCTGCTGGCTCCTAGAGTGCTCCCAGTAACCCCAGTGATCAGAGGCAGGGTCTCTAACCACGTGTTAGAGAAAGGCAGAAGCATGTTTTTATTAGGCTGCCTCGACTCCCTCAGTTGCTACTGGGGTGAGCTCACCACCCCTAGAAGGGCTGCTTGGAGTGTGGGTTTGTTGGTGGAGCCCCTCCAGCTCCTGTCGTACACCTGCTTCTCTATCCACCGCTGATATCAGAATAGGAAACCTCCTGCGTTTAACACTAAGCAATGTCAACAAGCGAGCTCCCAGGGAGGTGTCCTGGCCCAGCCACGCACAACCACGCATTTTTTTTGCTCTTCCCCAGTGATACACGTAGCCTCTCTGTGCGCAGCAGAGAGGAGGCACCTCAAATGGGAAGAATGGGGAAGCCATTAATTAAGCTAGAGACCCTGAAGCTATTGATTCTCTGGAGGAATAGCTAGATAAAGGGGACACCAAACTGCCAGCCTGTTGGCCACCTTTTATTTTTTTTCTGGTTTTATTGTTGGTTTTTAACTTTTTTTTTTTTCCAAGCCAAAGTTTGGTTTGTTGCTGTTATGACAATTTTTTTGTTGTTTATATATAAATATTTTAGTTAGCTTGAAAATGGGGAGGGGGGAACATGGTGTTGGGGCTTTCACAAAATCTAGGAAATGAGGGGGACTTGGGGCATTTGGGGGCTTTTACTGTCTGAGTTGGGGTAGAGGAGGGAGGATTTGTGGTAGAAATAGTCATGTTCAAGGGGAGCCATCTCCACCGCAGGGCAGCCAGGGGACTTCTGGAGCTGAGATGCAGCAAAAGCCTCTGGACTTGTTCTACCCATCTGTGGGGTGGAGGGGCAGAGTGAGGCCGTCCCTTCCCTTGCCCGCAGGCAGTTCCTCATGCAGCAGGTCTGCAGGCTGCGAGTGTGAGGAGCGCAGCGTGCAGAGCCCGGCAGGGGCAGCTGCTTGCCCCTCTGCCCCTTTCCTACATTTCAGTTCAGCTGGTTCTGACTGCAGCTCCTGAAAAGCTGGGTTCTCCCTCCCCGAGTGCCCTCCCCTGCCCTGGCAGTGCTGCCTGCAATCCCCCCCTGCCACTTGGCCTCTCTGGGAGTAGGGAGGCCAGCCCCATTTCTGCCTCTGAGCAGAGTCTATGCATGGCAGCTTCAGCCCGCCCGAGTATATTAGGAGCATGAGGGGTTTAGTGCGGAAGCGTCCAGCCTTTGTGGGGCTGTGGTCCCCTGCTGTGTGATCTCCGAGTAATACCTGCTCTAGACCATCCAGCCTGATTCTTCCCGTATCCCAGCCTGGCCTGCTCTGGTCACTCCCTGCCAGGCTCCTCTGGTGCATTAACCAGCCGGTGTGTCCTCGGCTCCATAGTTAATGCTGCAAGATCCCCACTGAGGCAGCTTGCCAATAGCCTGGCTTCCTGCACTCTGCAGGGAGCTGCAGAGGGGGTGCTGGGACGCTTGCACAGCTGGGGGCCGGAGGTAGCTCGCTGGTTCCAGGTCTCCGGAGCACCAGACCTCCCAAAAACTTGCATGCCAGCTGGAATTTTGCAGCGAGGCTTCTTGAGTGAGTGTTGTGCTGTGGCAGGAGAGCTCTTCAGCATTTCACTCGGATGTGTTCTGAACTGGCTTGAGATGCATGCAGAGTAGCCAAGCCGTGGCTATATCCATCTTCTGAAGAAGTAAGGACAAAGCCTATATCTCCCTATGCAAAATGAATTACACTTAATGAATTAAACTGGGCCCTGGCTTATTTGAGTGATGGCAGCTAGTGCTTTTCCCCGAGGTGGGTCTGCAGTCACAGGTCCCTTGCAAAGCAGGGCTTGGCTTTCTGAGGGAAACCTCACAGGTAGCCTGGCAAATAGCTTGCTGTTTGTCACCTTCTAGTCTGGTGGCATCTGGGATTCCTCTTGATGTAGAGGAAAAGATGTTTCTTTAAGTGTTGCTGTTTGTACTGTCTTGCAATAGGTCTGGCCAGCACATGATATTATACTGATAAAATTTGGGAGTTGATTTATTTAATGTGCTGGTCTGTCTTTCCTTGTGGGTACAGTTGTGCTGGTACAAAGATGACTTCTACTGCTATAGCATATTCTTTACTGCTAATAAGTTGTGTTGATGCCCAGCACGTTAACAAACTGTTGTCACTGTCCCCATGGTAGGGAGGTTGCACTGGGTTAGCTCTTCTAAGAAAAGCCATGACAGGACCTGGAGGCAACGAGGAGCTCAGTATGAGCCTGCTATAGCCAGCTTTTCCCAGGTTAAGCAGTTATGCGGATCCTGTGTCATAAGTTCCAATAGACAAAGCCATGTTTTAAAATAGCTGTGGCTTGGCTGCTTCAGTGCCCGAGAGAGAGCAGACTTGCCCAGCGAGAAAGAGCGCTAGCTCAGGGGTCGGAGACCTGTGTTTTGGGCAGGGCTCTTTCAGTGATCCTCAAGGGTCATCGTGGAGCAGTCGTGTCACTACTCTAGACTTGGCTTCCCTCTCCCTAAAGTGAAGTGAAAGTTTATCCTCTGTTCTCGCCCGTTTTGAGATCTGTGGATGTGAAGCGCACAGCAAGTGCTAGTTGCGAAACGGTTAATGAAACCATTTCCTTGCCCGAAAAGAGACGCTGGCTGCTGCTGACTGCTGGGGTTTCAGTACCAGCACCCAGAGCTTGCGTAGCAGGGAATACAAAGCAGAGCCTCCCAGTTCCTACCCGTGTTTTTCTCCGACCCATCCCTATCTGTATCTTCCCATCCCGGCTCCGAAGAAGGAGGCAAGTGGAGAACAGGTTTGGGGAGCACTTAGGAATTCAACAAAGGGAAAGCCAAACAGCAGCTCTGGGGAGCGCTTTTGCTGAGTCTAGCTCCAAAGGGAAAGCACGCGGGCAGCGTGGCAGATGGCCTGCGGCCTGTGGCCCTCCAGCCTGGCAGGGTCGGGGGAATGCTGTCCTTGGTGCAGAGGGGTGATTTTTAAAGTGTGTTACCTGTTTGCACTGTTTTAAAATAGGAGGGGGGGGGAACCCAACCTAGTGAACAAGATGAACATCCAATGTAAACTTCTTTGTGTTTTTATTTTGTCATGCTCTTGGAAAATGTCAAACATTTTGTAGTATACACCAGTGAGACTTGATTCTTTGTTGCATAAAACACTATTTTTGGTGATGTTAATGTCTGAAAAGCCCCTTCCCCCACCTTACTGATTGCACTCTCTGCCCTCCAACCCCAGTAAACTTCTTTTCTACAATGAAAACTCCAGTCAACAAGGCAAGCAGGAGTCTGATAGCCAGAGCATGAAATGGGGCCCTTTTCAAGTAGGCTCTGGGGTTTCTCCCCGGTACGCTTTGCTCTAGCCAGGAATTGGCAGGATAGCCGCCGTCCCTCTGCAGCATATGCATCGATGGCAGCCTAAATGGGACTTGGGGTGCCCCAGTCCTGTCTCTGTTGCCACTGCTAGCCCTGGAAGGCAACTTCTTGCCAGTGGTTGAAAGCACTGCCAGTGGTTGTCCTCTCTGGGTAGTGAGCGGGCTGCAGCCGGTCCAGGCTTGTGCAGGAGA